GGCCCAAAACTTTTGAAGGTCACCGGGCCCACCTGTGCCGGTCCATATCGCTCAACTTTGGGCCCACCATCTATATATGGTTTGTCGGCATAAGAATTCCTTTGTTTGGGTGGTTCAAAATAAAATATTAAAACTGCAGAATTTGGACTATGATCTATTAAAACGGAAGGGGGGAAAACAATGCTGCATCACTAAACACAGAATATCATAGCTATATTAAGGGATTGGCAAATCCAAGCTACGTTAAAGAAGTGAATAATTCCTTGAGGCTGTGCTTCTTTGACAGTTGTCGGATCCAAATATTTGTTGCCTTGTTGGGACCCGTCAATGCAATTGTTTACCAATTGTACAGTTGTCAAGTTGATCGATCTCATCTTGATCACTAGTGGCATTGGGATTTTTGTCTCTGTGAGTTTTCCTTGCTAAGGATCCCTTGGACTTTAGAATGTAAACGAAAAAGAAAGAAAGAAGATGATGATGATCAACTAACACCGAATCGAAGATCACACATGTCTGGTCTGGAGCAGAGGGGATGGCGAAAACCTAATACTACAAACCGGCGTCATGGTGTGGTATGATTGATAATATAATCACCCATGGTTTAAGGGGTCCCACCGAATTGATGCAAACCTAAATGCAAATTTGTATCGTAGTCCTTGTGCTCCTGGGTGTAAAACTTTCTTACACCACCAATGCAATAAAGCTGCAAAGCATATTTTCTTTTGATCTCCTTTGGCTCTTTTTTGTCTGTAGGTACTTTTTCTCATAAACTCTCATTGAAGGAACATTAGTCCTGTTATGAACTTTTGATGGATTGAAGCTGTGAAGCAGGACTCCTGGTACTGACCTCAAACTAAAGCAATGGTGGCTGTGTGGAGCAAGTTGCATAAGCTTTTTCTTTTCCTTCATTTTCCTTTTCTTTTTTTTTTCCCAAAAAATGGCCTCAAATATTAGAACCATAGAATGTAGCTCTTGAAACATCTTTGTCTATACATTGAAATTCTTCGTACCATGCATAAAAGTACAACTAATCTTATATAATTGCATAGACATGTTACAGTATATATATATATATATATATATATATATATATATATATATATATATATATATATATTCACTAAGTTGTGTGTGTGTCTATAAGTTGAATCTCTTACAGAGTTGCAGAGCAGAAAATAGGAGCAGCTAGCTATCTTCATTTAGTAGTATTATATCTTACTTGATTAATGTTAATGGCTTAGCACAGAATGAAGAATTATCTTCATTTAATAGTTCATGATACCGGAAGGGGAATTTGGATATACTCTCCACCTGAACCCCATGAATGATAACATAAAAGTATAGGAGATGTTCCCAATGTGCAGCTGCAATATACTGTGGGGTTGATGTGGAGAGTGCTCTATCCGGAGTGAATTCGAATTTCCGGAAGGGATTTGACATTGAAACCCCCAATACAAATTAAATATCATTCATCATTTAGAGAAAAATCATCCTTCTTGAAAAGATGAAGTTTACTTCAACTTAGTTTTTAAAGGGAAGCAAATTGCTTCAACTTAACAATTTATCAATTACATTTGTCATATTTAATTTGGCTAAAGAACAAGTTTCTTAGGCTGTGTTTGGTTGCTCTGCAATTTTATTTGCACTAGTACAAATGCATAGGAGTGTAAATGAAAAAAAATACAAATTCTCGTTTAATGTTGTTTTGGGTTTTACTTTATTTTGCTTTGTGTCTTTTTTTATACTGCAATCAAACAAAATAAGCTAAAATTTGAAACAAAAATAGGTCAGAATTTACACTCAAATCGTTTGCACTGCCATAGTTTTGCATCAGTGTAAATCTATTTGCATTGCAACCAAACACAGCCTTAAGAACAAAAGTTAAACCACTTACAAATTATAGTGTGTGAACAGAAAGAGATAAAATGCAATGGAGAAACCATAACTCAGGATTGCACAAATCATCTTGTTAGTTGGAACTCATAAGCAAGGTGTATAGAAATTTTGAGTTTTATTACATCAATAACTCAAAGGCAAATGGCTTGATCCTACAAAAAATGTTTTTGAGAATCTCCATTAAGACCATAAAAATCCTAAAACAGTCTTTAGAAGAAAACAAGTGCAGAATTACAATAAAATATCTAATTCTCAAACGTTCATTCCATCGTGATAAAAGCCATCATTTGATAAACCCTAAGGTTTCGTTCATTTTTCGGTAAGTTATTTACTTGAGTAAATACAACTACTTGGGTAAGTTTTTGCTAGGAAATATTTACCTGGGTAAGTGCATTTTCCCATGCTCTTTTATTTCGCAGGTAAATAATGCAATGACCACTTAGCCATAACATTCCATTATTAAAAGGGGCATTTTTGTCCTATTCAAATGTTGACAATTTTCCCTCTAGGTGGGAAAGGGGATGGGTATCACTTACCCGGGTAAATGATATGTAGGAAAATAAACTTTTCCTGGTCCCCCCACATAAATCTGAAAAAAGAACATGGGGTTCTTGGTCAATGGGAACCAAAATCCCATTGACCAACTTTCCCCCCTCTCGAAATCTCAGAAAATAACGCCCCCTAGATGTACTTAGAATTACCTAAAAATATCTTAAAAATTATTCAACCATCTTTTAAATTCAGTTACTAAGTATATATTTAATTCATCATTCCTAGTAAAAAACAAGTGCATGGTTGTAGTAAGTATATATATCTTGTTTTGGTAGGCAAAGTAAAGATGCCTTGACTTGGACAAAATTGTGTTCGTTAGGGCCTATGGAAGTTCACTATTATTTATTAAGAGATTTGAAGATAATGACCTCTATTCTTGGTATTATTAATTCTATCACCTTTTGCATCCTATTTTTCTGACATTAAGCCTCCGTTTGGGAAGAGTGAAACAAATGCTGTCATTTTCATGGCCCCTACATATTTGTATTTGCACTCTCCCCAAATGGAGCCTAACAACTCAGTTTGTTTGTAGTGTAAATTTCATTGCATTGGTGTAAATGCATGGGAGTGTAAATACGCCGAGTGTACATTTTGGTTTACTTTTGCTTTAGATTTGACTTTATCTTATTTGTTTATAAGAAGTAAAATAAAAAATAAAAGGATGTAGCTAGTGTTCCCACCAAGGTTCAAAGTATCGATACTCAAAATTTGAGTATCAAGCATGTAATCTAATCGATCTATCAGTGTTTCTAACTCTTTACCTCTGACATTTTGCAGATTGGTATGGTAAGATTATAATTTACTATATAAACCTTTTAAAACCACTTAAATCTAAAGTATTGCATGTATCTTTGAGCTTGAAAATTGATATATATCATATAATACACATTAATATGTTGTGATACTTTGAACCTTGGTGCCCAATTTATAGGGAAGAGAATGGAGGTAGGAGGGTTAATTGTTTGAGGGTGAGGTAGGAAACAAGATGCTATGGTGTCCACTCACTTTATATGAGAGAGAATTGAGGTAAGAGAAAGGTGATGCAAATTTTGCATCTATTTTTAAGATGCAAAATATGCACTGCTTGTGAATGCAAATGAGTAAAACGTACAAATTTTGCACCAGGTAGGAGTGCAAATCATCATTACAAGCAAATGGATGCAAAACTGAACCTGATGCAAAATTTTGTTCAGATTTACACTGCAAATAACAGAGCCTAAGCATTATTTATTAATGGTTAGTTGTTAACCGTATAAGAGGCCATGTTCTAGTAGAGCAGAGCAGCTGTACATGGACCATTTGAAAAGAGATCCAACCCCAGCAGGGGCCTACAAAGCCAAGCACAAATCGGTTTAGCCCATCATGGGCAAAGGCCCAAATTCTAGTTCATATCAAGTGATTGATTTTTTTCCAAAACATATGTTTTTGGATTCAGTCTTAAGTCCATTAAGGCCCAAAAGCTGCCTATCTCAGATGCCCTGCCCACGTTGCCCCCATTCTCAATGTTATAGACTTCTACTAAGTGTGCCAAGAAAATGGCCTAGACTAGAGGCCTAGACCTTGTTAAATCATTCACTTTTTCCTTGGGCAAAACATTTATAGAAATAGAAAAAAGGAAGAGAAGCTTTTGGCAAGAGAGAGATTCACCAAACAAGAAAGGGAAGTAACAACTTTTGTCAATTACCGTCCAAAGTCCAAATTCCACCTAGAGAGATACTTTTGTTACACAAGGAGGATGTGTCTGTGTGTGTTCCTATTCAACTCCATCATTTCCACCATTTTGGCTCCTTCTGGGAGGAAAACTTTAAACTTTGGTTAAAGTCTGTGGGCCTTCCACTTCAACTTGGGTTGGCAATACGCCAACTTGGCCGGTTCTGGCCCAATTGCGCCCATGACCCGAACAATAACTGAAGAATTACTACTGAACTTTCACTCACTTGATATTCAACAATTCTATGTCATGCTTAGGAGAGAGCTATTATATATGGACCTGGATTTGAATTTCAAACCCACGTTGCCCAGTGATTTAAACAAGGTTATGAAGCAAGTCCGGTCCATTAATTCTACTCAGGGCCAAGTAGAACAACACAATTGCAGTAGCATAATTCTTGGCTTTGGTGCAAATACTGTAAGCTATCTGATCTTTACCAAACAGATTAAGGTGATTAAACCCCTACCACTCCATGAATCCTTTTTCACTGGGACACATGCTGTTTGTTCTGGTAGGTTTGTTCCTGTTACAAATTTGAGTCCGGATTTGCTGCAGCATAAACACATTCCATTACCCCACTCCCATCTCTGCTGTAACTCTAACAAAGTTGCTCAGGGGATGATGCAGTTAAAAGAGTTTCATCTCCAACAGTCCAAGGATTATTGTATATTATCTACAAATTAAATTGAGGAGAAAAAAAAGGCTTTTGATTGCCCTTAAATTATTAAGAAGTAATGAGAATACTTTAAACTCGGCCTTATTATAAGCATATAGATTAACTTGCATTATATATATGTGGTAGAATGGAATACATAGAGAATCAATAGGCAAATAGCAGAGAGAAGCCAGGGAGAGTAAGACTCGCTTACTTCTTCCCTTCTTCTTCCTTTCCAATCAAAAGACTCGCTCTTTCTCTCTGTCTGTCTACGTGTGTGTCTCTATTTCTCTCTTATTATCTCTGTGAGATCATCAATCTTCTACCAGATTGTTTTCAGAGTTCTGTTTCAAATCTCATAATAGAAACACACCAAACGCAATGACAGTTGATTGCACTGCAATCGTATCTCTCGATGGTCGAGAGGATAAAAAAGACGAGCAACAATCTCTGGTTTTCGATGCCTCGGTGCTTCAATACCAACCCAACATACCCACACAATTTGTGTGGCCGGACGATGAGAAGCCCAGTGCCGAGGCTCCAGAACTCCGGGTTCCGCTCATCAACTTAGGCAAGGTCCTTTCCGGGGATCCAGTTGCAGCCTTGGAAGCGTCGAGGCTGGTCGGAGAGGCCTGTAAGAAGCATGGATTCTTTGTGGTTGTAAATCATGGAGTGGAAGCACGACTCATCGCCGACGCTCATCGCTATATGGATTTGTTCTTTGGTATGCCGCTCCACCAGAAGCAGAGGGCTCAGAGGAAGCCCGGTGAGAGCTGTGGATACGCTAGTAGCTTCACTGGCAGGTTCTCTTCCAAACTCCCCTGGAAAGAGACCCTCTCCTTTAGCTACATGGCTGACGTACAATCAAACACTACCGTGGAAGAATATTTCCTGAACGTCCTGGGTGAAGGTTTCAGGGATTTCGGGTACGAAGCCAATATCATCTGTTTGATTCAAAATCTCTTGTTTTACTTCATTTCTTAAAACTTAACTTTTACTGTTTTTTTTAAATGTTTTCTTGTGCTGTCGTATCGTATGTCTATGTTATAGGAGGGCGTACCAAGAGTACTGTGAAGCAATGAGCACTCTCTCAGTTAGGATCATGGAGCTCCTCGGGATGAGCCTCGGAGTAGGCCCAACCCATTACAGGGATTTCTTTGAAGGAAATGATTCTATCATGAGACTTAACTACTACCCACCGTGCCAGAAACCCCTTCTCACACTTGGAACGGGGCCTCACTGTGACCCAACCTCTTTAACCATCCTTCATCAGGACCAGGTCGGCGGCCTTCAAGTGTTCGTCGACGGCCAATGGCGCTCTATCAGTCCCAATTCTGAAGCTTTCGTCGTCAACATCGGAGATACGTTCATGGTAATTATCATATCAGATAGTTTCCTAGATATAGATTCATATTTCTCTGTGCTCAAGGAGCGATTTTGAATTAATGGCGTTGCCGGGTGGTGGTTGTTGTTGTTTCGTTTCAGGCTCTTTCCAATGGACAATATAAGAGTTGCTTGCACAGAGCAGTCGTGAACAGCAAAACACCAAGGAAATCTCTTGCTTTCTTTCTGTGTCCACAGGTGGACAAGGTTGTGTGCCCGCCGAGAGGACTGGTAGACTCGGAGCATCCAAGGATGTACCCAGATTTCACATGGTCGTCGCTGCTCGAGTTTACTCAGAAACACTACAGGTCGGACATGAAGACCCTTGACACCTTCTCCAATTGGCTTCGACAAGAAAACAAACGAAGAGATATAATATAGCCGACCTTCTTCTCTTCTCATCGTCCCGACCTTCCGGGCCGGGGGACCAGGAATTGTTGTTAGGAGGATCGGCGGCAAGAGAAAATCAAACAGAAAGCCAAGTCTCTGGGCGGGAGCTAGGAGTTGCCGGTGAAAGCAAGGGAGGGAAAAACAGAAGAAAATTAAGCAAGAAAGAACGATTAAATTAAATTTTAAACAAGGTCATCAGCTCATTTTTCAATTTTATTTAGTTCTACGAGAAAGCATTGAAATGGGAAAGACCATCAACAAATTAAATGGCCAGCTAGCTAGAGGACTTCATGTAAAACAAAACAGAGCACTTTGCTTGATTGTTGAAGGAATTAAATAACGGAATGAACTTCATGTAAAACGAAAACGAAAACGGAAATGGAACCCTTTTTTGGAATAAGTGGTTGACTGTTGATGGAGTACTGTTTCAAGCCATTTGGATTTTGGTATTTTGGTTGGACCCCCCTCTCTCTCTCCCTCTCTGTTTCTCTCTCTCTCAACGGTTCCTATAGTTTTGACTTTGACTTTGAGCTATGATATACGTCGTCCATTGGGAACTTCTCGACAGTGGTTGCATGATGACGACGAGTTAATTTACAACGACAGAAGTACATAACAACTGCATGCATGGCAAAGAGCAAGCATGCACCCATTTTAAAATATGGAACCTCGACCCGACCGGAGCGGACCGTTGAACCATGAGAAAACACGTGCGTGTGGTGTGAATATTGGGAAATTAGGGTCTCTGAAATTGGGTTACAAGTAAATCCGCTCCTAGGATATATCAGAGTCTTGGGCGAGAGTCTTCAACCAACAAAGTTGAAGATTCTCCAAAAAAACCTATAGTGAGACACTAGCAAGTTGAACAGAGAGACAATAGTGATTTTCGAAAAATTTGTGTATACATTTGCTTGATTCAAATTCTTTAAATAATTTCAGAAGAATTGTGAAACATTGGAAGGTGCAGGTTCAGAAAAGACTCGTTGAACAATCACAAGTTAAAAAGGTAATTAATTGTTAATTTTGAATAGTGCCTATTTATCACACCAATTGTGACCCTTGAAAACATCAATGGTTAGCCTCGCACCAAAAGTCAAAGTCGCCCTTCGTGATATGCGAGCAAAGTGTGTTTCTAAAGCGCCACACGGGAGTGCATTGCGCAATAACAAGCATCCATACTCTCTTTTTTGTTTCTAAAGAGTGTAAATAAACTCCTATTTAAAAACTCAAAACAAATTTTATAATTTTTCAATGTGAAATAAGTTGAAAATTGATTTTAATAAGAGAAAAACTATGTTTCAAGACATGGGTGCGGATGTATTTTTCATATAATTGATCAATCAAAGCCCATTAAATTTAATTTCTAATGAAAGTAAAATCTAACGATCCTTATGAAAACATACATTAATGGAAATGCCAGAAAAACTCGCAGTACAGTCTCCGGTATATATATATATATAACCCACGTACATAAATACGTAGAAGAAAAAGACTAAAAAGATATATAGAGGTGGGTCAATAGGTCAGGGTTCCTTCGATTTGCTGACATAAGTAACCCTGAAGCTTTGTGGGGTTCCGATGGATATTGACCAAGGTGCCCCTGCGAAAGTCCTTACTTGGAGAGTTGGAGTTGGAGTCGGAATGGGATGGGCTAACTTGAGAAGGCCTACCAAGAGGGAAAAAGAGTAAGAGACAAGTGAGTTAAAACTAAAAGTGGGCAAGTGGGGAGTGTTAGGGAGTTTAATAAATTAGAAAGGATAGATGCTTGGATATATATAAAATTTCTATCTCTACTTTGAAATGTACTTATTTGGATTCGTGGTTCATTGCATTATGGAACTTAATTTGGATGGATCCGCAGTGTTGTGATCACAGAGAAGGTGAAGGAATATGTAAGATACTGTCCCGACTTTTGTGGCAACATTCATTCATTCATTTCTCTCTTTCTTGCTTACAAGCCTGCAAAGTTGCAAAGGCACATCCCATCATACATCAAGAACATTTCCCGTAAATAATAATACATAAATACGGAAGATATTCCCAATAAATGGTGAGAGGTGCCTGTGAAATTAGTGTGAGGTGCAAATCCGATATATTCTCTCCCAAATCCCAAGGAGATGGGATCTGCACTTCACAAATGGGCACCTCACATATATTCACCCTGCATTAGAAATATCTCCCCTGAATAATAATAATTAATGAGTACAGAAAATATTTCTAATGCATGATAGAATGTGCATGTGAGGCACATATGGGGCGTCAGATGTGAGGAGCAGTTCCGGTCTCAGTCCCAAATAGTGTTTAAGCATTCAAGACCAAGTCTCCGTAAGGTGCGAGCCGCCACCACAACGGACAATGACAACCTCCCTGTTTCTCTCTCTCTCACTCCCTTCCAAATGCCCGCTTCATGTGGGAACGCATCTTATTGGTTCACTTTTCTCTTTCTCTCTTTCTCACATTTTTAAGAACAAGACTACTACATTCAGTGGTTCTCCAATCTCCATATAGCAATACATTGCCAGGTGGACTACTTAGCTTAAGGGTTCGATCATCTCATGTATTCTTGAATTTTACGCCACACAGGGAGTATGAGGAGCAGCGTAATCCAAGGATTTGGAACACCCTCGGTTCCATCACTTGGTCTAATTAAGGATGGGTCTCGACTAGACCCTCAGTCATCAAGTTGTGTCGATGGGATTTAGAAAATAGAAAGCCAATTCAGTCCAAACTATGGATAGAAAATTGGTTTATGACTTGATGTGAATGGTTTTGTTATTTAAAACAAAAACAGTTGCTGACGTGGCAATTATTTTTATTTTAAAACAAAAAACCATTCATATTGGCTGACAAATGGCTGAACACCCCCTTAGTGAGCTGATTTAGAAAATATTAGCCAATAAAACCTGTCAATATATCTTCTGCACTTCTAATTTAGGGCCTTGGCGCGCCTAGGGGATGTCAACGGATTGTGCTGTGCACTTGTGCAAGTAAAAGATAAATATATAATTAAGATGGCCTTATATAATCAAATTTAGCTTTTATGATATACACTAAAACCAAAATAATTATTTGCTTTGTAATAGTATAAATTAATTAAATCCCATTGGTTTTAGTTATTTAGAACTACTATATATAATTTAATTTGCAATTATGCACATGTATATTGGCATATAATAGAGATATCTCCAATTTAATACCTATTTTTCTCATAATACATTTGTAATATTATCATATTATTACAACCAATTGTAACTGCCTAAAATGTATAGCTGTAAATTAAAATTCTTATCAGTCAGATTAAATAGTCCTGGATATAGATCGTTTAGGGTCTGGTTTGATACTGGTCATACACAATCAGTTATCAGATCGGGACCAGGTCTTCTTAGACCCTGACCAGATCTGGCCCATTGACACTACTATTGGGGCGACAGATGGATGAATAAAGCAACCCGTTTTATAACACTCTGGATCTTCTACCCACAAACTCTTCTCACATCCGTAACTGCATGCAACCAAACACCCCTATAAGATTTTCTTATTCACCCATAGTCTATTATGCAAATGTCATATGTGCACGAGTGCGTCGGTCGTGGGCCATCATGGATTGGAAAGAGTCATGTACCATTGGCCTGTGCACCCATCGTGGGTAAAAACCAGGGCCCATTACCCATACCAGGCAACAACGTTTTGCTTGTTATGGAGTGCTATTCATCCTATTATATTACCATACTATAATACTGTGCGTGTTTGAACCCAATCAATAATAACAACACGCCAACTATCCTGCTGGTAAGTTTTTAGCTGGTTATAGACTTGTAGCTAAGACCTGGGATCGAATCCTACCTTCATCCGGGTTGAGGGGTCTAGGGCCTCTAGGCCCGGGGTTGGGGTTTGGTTACTGTCTATTGTAAATAGCCCATTAAAAAATCGCAGAATGATCTGAAGCGTCAGATCTGTGAGATAAATTTATGTCCCTGTGTTGATAAAGTTTGATCTTTACACAAAATCAGACAGGTCTAGACACATTGCAAAAGCAGTATGTGGGATAAAAAATTCATTTTTATGGACCAAATTGTCCTCTCTCGTTCCTCACATTGTTCCACTCTCTTCTCAAAATGGTGTAAAGAGTGCTTTAGGCTGTGTTTGTTTTTAATATAAATATGGATCGGTGTAAAACTCCACTGAGTTTTACATCGATTATCACACTTTAAAAAGTTCTAAAGGTTCACTCATTTTAAACCCACCGGTGTTAAACTCCATCAATTTATTTTTTATATCGATAATAGTTTATACCAAAAACGAAGGTATTTTTAAATTACGGGCAATTTGGCCTCAAGAAAGTCTTTTTCCTTCCCCCTTACTCTTTACAATTTATGTCAAGAAAGTCTATTTTTATTAATTTATTGATTCTTATATATAAGAAGCCTTATTATTAAAGAAGAAATATCCTTGGGTTGTCATATAGGGTTTCACCACCAATTCTGGATTTTTTGCCACAAGAACTCTGCCTACGCCTATCCACAACACACTATCCCTGTGCATTGGGGACATCTCCTCATGTATAATATTATGTAGGAGGATAAAATGTTCTCCATGTGTGATTGTGATGTTATGTGGGTAGACGTGGACAGAGTTCTAGTGGGCAGGAGATCCGGACTCTTCACCACCATCTACATACTTTTAACGGCTGGGCAATCACAGTATAGATTAACCATAACCCATGATTGTATGCCCCCCAAAACGTTGTGTTTTGTCCCATGTGGAAGTTACGTGACCGTTTATTATGCTTTTAGATCCCATCCATGCATGTGCGTCCGGATCTCTCGCTAACAAAATGAGATTGGATTCAGTCCTCGCAAAATGGTGCTTACATTATACTCAAAGTCATTTGCAATTGTGTATTGAGAATATCTTCCCATGAATAAAACATATAAATATATATACTTTCAATATACCATTGAAATTGGTTATGAATACAGTGTGAGTATGGTTTTACAAGGATTAAATCTGAGTTCCAACATTCCACTCTACCAATATGACCGACAGCACATCTCATATATGGCAGGTCCCACTTTTATGATGGGCCCAATCTTGTGATATGTGAGTGTCAGATCATATTGGTGGGGTGTTGGAGCAATCTTTGCATGCTTTGTTGGCCATGAAATTACAAAACTGCATATCTTTGTACAGAAGATGTTCTTGATGTGTGGCTATAAGTACTGTAAAATTAATGTGATAAAACAAATCGGATTTTCTCCAATATGACCTATATCTACACCATTCAGACAGATGTGATAAGGAACAGTTTTTCTTGGAGCCTAAAGCTCCAACACTAGGAAAATTGTGGAGACACTACTAATATCCTGCTTAGTTAGATACTTGGACCTTCTTACGGTTTTTAAT